CCCCCCCCCCCCCCTATGAAACTTCGCAACACCAAAATGTGAAAAGGAACAGTCCTTCGAAAGACCCGTGACGATGTTATTTATTAATTTCGTCTTGAGTACTGAATGTGTAACACTCACTACTCGAATAAATCCTGTCCAATGAGATGCACATCCCTATATCACAGTGATTCGGTAAACGGGACAGTCAGAGGGCCAGTGTCATAAATACCTAATGAGCACCAATGGCTAATTGCTTTTCGCCATCTGAATCTCTGGACGGAGACAAACGGTCGTGACACGTGTAATTCCGAGAGTGAAAACACGGCGGTCTGCCTTGATGCCTCGACATTCTCGTGAAATTCACTGTTAAAATAAAGCTCAATGCCGTCGAAAGGATTGCACGCAAGTCAAAACAGGTTTAATCTAGAACTGACTTTTACTATTTTACACTGGTACCAAGTGGTTTTCTAATCGGGTACAACAAACCCACATGTTTCAATGTTAATGACAGTCGTGAAACGCTTCTTCCAGAGGGAAATCAAAATAATTTCACTCGCGAATCCCCAAAATTGGCATCATACCAAACCCCACGTGCGGAAGAATGGTGCATTGCGATCGGCGCGCACACGACGCAGGGAGACTCAGAATTGCAACATGAGATGACACCACCGAGTCAAACTACGTTGGGAAATTAGCCCTCACCAGGCCCACGACAAAATCTCAGCCCGACATCGCCAGGTTTGTGGCAGCCCGTACCGCTAAATCAACTCAGGTCGGTGTCCCCCTGAATGGTCTAGAAAGTGGTTATTCAGGAACCGACCGACAATGGCGAGAGCGCGAATCACGGATACTGTTTATCGACATAAGCTACAGATATTACATGAAACCCACACCCCCAGGTCAGCGAGTACGTGCAAATCGAGACATTAAACACCCACAACAAAGCCAAACACAATGCTGTGTGTATCACGGTACCTTGAGGACCAAGCGACCCCAGCCGTCCGTCACAAACTGAATGACCGTGTTAAGGTGGCCTAGCAAGAAAACCAAAGGACGACTAGAAGCGGTAGGTATTATCCCGCAACGCACATGTGGAAACAAGAAGATATCCCGAAAAATGGGATGTTTTAAGGGAAATGAGCACGAGTTAAAAAGAATTGATGGACAGAAAGGTACTTGTTGTGGAAGGTAAGTTAAATGTGTGTATCTATCCAAGGGCACTGCACAAATTTTCATGAATACAAATCCTCTTCTTCTGCGCCTTGGTTATACGGATTGTTGGAAACAGGAGCAGGAGGTAAGCCGCCAGAAGCCGCACCGCCTTGTTCGGCCGGAAATCTAGAGGAGGAACCGGGATGTAACCTCTTGTCAAAATCTTGGATACATATGCAAAAATGTCTACTGAAAACACCTTACCTAAAGTTACCGCCCATTCCTCGGGACTGCTGCAGCGTCTGTGCGAACATCTCGTACTTGCGGATATCGTTATCTGTGACGGAACGACGAGCGAACCGCATCGCTTCTTCAAAGTGGCGTCTGGTAATTTCTGGCACAGGGTCGCTATCATCCTCCATGGCAGATGGGTTGTTCTGCCTCTCACGTTCCGCCCTTATTTCAGCTTCGATTGACTCTCTGATGGCCTGCTTGCAAGCGCGCTGGCAGATTTCGGTCAGATCAGCGCCGGAAAACCCGACCGTGGACTTGGCCAAGAAACCAATGTCAACATCCTACATTAACAAAAACGGTTTAGACGAGAACGCGGTAGATTTTCGTGATAAAGAAAGCAGTTTCTTACTTTGGCAACAGGAGACTTCCTCAGGTTTGCCTTGAAAATGGCGATCCTCGACTTCTCGTCCGGAAGGGGAATGTAAATGAGTTGATCAAGTCGACCAGGACGAAGGATAGCACCGTCAATTATATCCGGCCTGTTTGTGGCACCAATAATAAACACGTTTTTCTTAGATGACATTCCATCCATCTCAGTTAGAAGTTGATTTATGACTCGATCAGCAGCGCCTCCAGCATCTCCCACACTACCTCCACGAGCCTAAAATAGTAGCCAGTAATTAGCTATTTACACCACCCTCGTGAAACGAAGTCCTAAGGGGTGGAGATACATGACTAACAGAATATTGACTACAGCATTTCCCGCGGAATACAGAGCAGCAGATCACCACTCACTTTGGCAATTGAATCCAGCTCATCAAAGAACAGTACACAGGGAGCTGCTTGTCTGGCTTTGTCGAAGATGTCTCTAACATTTGCCTCAGATTCGCCAAACCACATAGTCAAAAGTTCAGGACCTTTGATGCTTATGAAGTTTGCCTGACATTCATTAGCGATGGCTTTGGCCAGTAGTGTTTTACCACATCCGGGGGGACCATAAAAAAGAACACCTTTACTGGGAGTCATTCCAAATTTGAGGAACAGATCGGGATGTTCGACTGGATACTGAACCATCTCCTGGAGTTCCCGTTTGACATTCTCCAAACCTCCGATATCTTCCCATGTAACGTTGGGAACTTCGACGGTGGTTTCACGCAGAGCAGATGGGTTACTTTTCCCAAGAGCCCACCGGAAATCATCCATTGTTACTGCAAGGGACTCTAAGACTTCAACGTCGATCGTGTCATCCTCTAAGTCAATCAAATCCATCTTGTTACGAATTTGCTGGAGGGCGGCTTCAGAGCACAAAGACGCGAGATCTGCACCAACGTGACCGTGGGCTTCGTTGGCAATTTGTTCCAGATCGACATCTTCTGCGAGCTTCATATTTTTAGTGTGAATACGCAGAACCTCCAGACGACCGGTAGCATCTGGAATACCAATCTCAATCTCGCGGTCAAAGCGACCAAAGCGACGTAGAGCTGGATCGATGCTATTAGGCCTGTTTGTAGCAGCCATAACGATGACTTGGCTTCTTTGCTTAAGTCCATCCATGAGGGTAAGAAGTTGAGAAACGATCCGGCGCTCTACCTCCCCGTGAGTTTTCTCACGCTTAGGAGCGATGGCATCCAACTCGTCGATAAAGATGATGGCCGGTGAATTTTTTTCAGCCTCTTCAAAGGCTTTCCGTAGATTAGATTCAGATTCACCCGCGAGCTTCGACATAATTTCTGGTCCATTGATTAAGAAAAAGAAGCTTCCACTTTCATTTGCAACGGCACGGGCTATCAACGTTTTGCCGGTTCCGGGGGGACCGTAGAGCAGAATACCCCGGGGTGGTTTTACACCAATAGCTTTGAAAAGTTGTGGATGACGTAACGGGAGTTCAACCATTTCTTTGATTTGCGCTAATTGTTTTCTGCACCCACCAATGTCGTCGTAGCCAACTTCGGTTAGTTTTTCATCCTCTTCCTACCAGACAAATAGGATAAATCTAATGCGGGGAGCCTACCTCACGCTTGACGGGAGAACCCTCGGTGTGAATAACTGTGTCGGGCGCAACAATGCAGGAGGGCGATGGGTCAGTTTCAATAACTTTGAATTCAACCGCGCGATTTCCACGAACGAGGAATGTGTCGCCCTTAGTAACAGGTCTGTATGCCTCCATGAAGTAAGGCTTCAAATAAACCTCAAACAAATCACTTAAGAAGTAAATTTCGATTATCTAACCAAACCCCGTAAGACCAACGATTGTATCATCGATGGGCAGAACGTGGATACGTTTGCCGTATTTGATGTCAGGGAGAGCCTTAATCGAAACAACGTCACCTAGCCGAACTCGAAGATTGTTCCTAACACATCTATTCATGCAAACTTTTTCGTCAGGCACATTGTCGGCAGACAAGGCAACGCAGACCGTTTGCTTCCTACGCTTTCCCGTGACACTAACTGTATCACCTCGAAATAACTCCAGTTCATTCATTGTAGCCTACTTAACATATATAGAGGAACAAAGAGAAATACCGTCGACAGAACAATAACCGAATTATCATCGTTAACCGCCTCTTCAACGATCAAACGATTTCTTCTTCTTTTACTGGATGCAGAAGGTTGAGGTTCTCTAAAAAAAATCACGTCAATATCTACTAGGCGCGGACAAGTTTCTGCCCAGGGAGAAAGAAACCCACCGACTCGAAGACGCCATTGCTAGAAGCAGAAAAGGATATAACTTGACTCAGCGATCAAATCAAAACGCGAAACTCAGACACCACGATGATATCCGTAATTAAAACAAAAGATTGCCGGTGCAAAAAAAACAGAAATTACAACAACAACACCGTTCTAGACAACGAATTTATGTGTAAAAATGTTAGAAGACTTCCAAAAATGAGAAGACTCAAGATCTAAAATTGTTAGCGGCAAGATACAGATCTATGTTTCACTTGCTGTTGTTCCTAAAGGGAAAATGCGAAATTCAATAATAAGGTTATTAATTAGATTGTTATTCCTTTATTTTAGACTGACTAAAATTTGAGTCACACTTTACAAAACTTTTCGATATAATCGAGGCACCTACGGTAAGATAAATGGGCAACGGTTACCAAAGTTAGCATTCAGTTATATAATGTACAAATGCATAAGGATATATTAGCGTGACCTTTACACTTCTAAAGGATCTATATAAAACTGTATAATTTGAACAAATAGAAATGCCAAGATGTTGATTAATCTGGTTAATACCTAACACCTTGCGCGTGTATCAGGAATATAAAAAATGGAAAAATTTTTGCGCCTTGACAGTCAATGTATCACTAAGTGGTCACAAAATCGTTGCAGGTATTTGTCACGCTTCAATATCCTGCGACAAAGATGATGGAGCGCCCGTCTTAAGAGCGGATACTGGTAAAAATTTGCAGCAGCATGTTTTGAGCAGCAATAAAACCTGATAATGGTGGTGTTTATAGGCACATCACTCACCCTATATTAAACATAACCAATTGACGGATTTTAAGTTCCTAATTTATTTCGGTTCCATACTGTGCTCGTCCTTAATGAACATTTGATTTGGCAATTTATTTGACGTAGAATTTTGCCATCGGGATTAAGGGATTTCATACCACATCATTTCATGATATATTGTAGTAAATAATGATGACGAGACAAAATGAAATGGTAATTTACAACTTTAACCATGTAAGTCATCCCCCATAAGTTTTTTTTATTTAAATTTGCTTATTCGAGGAGTGGATTGGTTTTTTCTGTATTCGCAATTTTGTTGATGTCTGTTGTTCATGACAGTACCTTCAGGTGTTTCACGCAAAGCCTGGCGTTTTCCAATAGATTTATTCGTATTTCCATCCCAAAAGGAAGGAATCAAATTTATGTAAAAAATATTGCTTGTACTGCTATCCTTTAGTATAATCGGCACAATAGTGGTGAAAGTATGTCCAAAGCATTGCCTCATCTGATTGTCGCCGACGAAGTACTTAGCGTCGAAGGAAGGCGGCAAAGATTGTGCTTAGCGACTGTGTCTGGGTACTCAAAATGCGATGAAAACATATATAACTCTTTTGCTAACACCACGAAATGAATAGGAAAATGTGAGCTTTTAATATTACATCGTGATCTTAATCTGGATTTTTGTCTTGACACCTAATAAAATTAAGCCATCTTAAAGGCACACTGAAAAAGTCAGGGGTGGTTCCTCAGAACTTATTATTAGGCAACGGCTTCGTTACAGACTGATCGTGTTGTAAACCCTTACGTCTTATTTACAAATTCTCGAATCAATGATTTTGTATTTATTTTAGTTTTACGTGAGCGTCCTTGTAAGCGTAAGTTGACGGGCTTATTTACACGCCCCAGATCACGTGCGATACACTTAAAAATGACATATTGTCTCCAAACTGACATCGTGTTGCACGATTACTTGTTTGAAAGCAAGTAAAGGTGGTTTAAGCGACAACGTGAGCAATTTTAGAGATCCTGATAGGTGCAACAAACGGCAGTTGCAGGAGTGAAATTAGGAAAAAACACCTCATTATTTTGTATTTAAAACCCAAGTTGAATTTACATCCTCTTAAATCGTGAATAGAAATGCTTCGTTTGATGAAGAGGATTTTGCGAAGTGTATAAGGAAATATCTAAATCACTACAATGTAGCAGTGGAAGGAAATAAGTCATTCGACGGAGCCAACACTTAACGGATTTCGATAAACCAAGATGGAAATTACATTTCGGTTACGAAAATCCGTATTATTCTAAATTTCAGATATCAAGGTAAATGATACTTCCTTCATTTGTTAGCCGATTTTTAAATAAATCTAATCATGGCGTGGGTAATGATTATAATGTATTTCTTAAATGCCCCCTAAATAACTACGTTTTATCTAACTTTTGGAAAATTCTACACATCGAATAAGCTATTTTTGACAGAGACCTTTTACTTTTATGTTAACTGAGCCCAAAATTTTCTATCAACCTGGATTTAGTAACAGAATTAAAACTAAAAAAACTAACTTAGTTACGTATTCAAAGCTATTTTAGTTATTTAAAAATTCGCACACTTTCATTTTATTGAGTTTGTTAATAATCATTTTCAATTTCGTCCAATTTTTGTTTATAAATCACTCAACCAAAATCGACAAAAGATATGAATGAACTTCTCGCAGTGCCTAACCTAGATTCTAACTTAAATTGGTAAGTTTATTTTCATTACAAAAGCTATACGTGTATAGTTTTAAAAAAAACAGGCCACTCTAAAGGATTGTTATTGCGCTAACACATAAATTAAGGTATTTCTCTACTAAAATCAAGAGGAGGTTGGTCAATTATCGAATGGAATTTGTGTTTTTGTGAAACTTATCAACCAAAAAAAGAAATATTTCAACAAAATAGAATTAACATATAAGCGGTAATGAGAAATTGAATATCTGGAAAATGCAGATTTTTGTGACTGAAGAATTGAAGCTAACAACACGATTCAGAAACCGAGATGGAATTCAATTGTAACAGCCGTGGAAGCAATAAGTTTATAAATTGTGCCTCGTGGATTCAAAAAAACCCCACTTTTAAGTCATAATTTTAAAATCTGCTAATAATCCATAAAATTTCTTGATATCTCTAAACCGGCGGTTAAGTTCCATATACTGCAAATATGCAAATAAGAAAAACACCTTGTCACTAGCGATAAGGCCTAACTTGCTGATTGAACTTAATAGACTAACGTTCATGGAAGCGTGTATTTTAATTGACGATTAAAACGCTGCGACTAAAGAAACTGGTGTCAATTGGCGCGCGAGTCGATATTTGACTTTTGCGTGCCTATGGAGAAGGCTAAGCCCAAGGAGGTACCTAGTGTTGTTGTAGATGCGAAAGGCAAGAAGACCTTTATAAAGGGTCGCTTTCTCGGCAAGGTACTGATATTTTATAAGAGTATTATTATGTTAAGGGTGGCTTTGCCCGTTGCTGGGAGTTGTGTGACAAAGACACTGGTGTCAAATATGCAGGGAAGGTCGTCGCTAAATCTGACCTGGTTAAGTCCTCTCAGCGGCAGAAAATGCAGCAGGAGATTATTATCCACGCGTCATTAAGGCATGAGAATGTTGTTGGCTTTCATCGGTCTTTCGAAGATGAAACTAATATTTATATTCTGCTAGAGCTGTGCACCCGGCGGGTATTACCCAGTCTTTACATTAATGCTGTAGACCCTCATGGAATTGCATAAAAGGCGTCTCCAGGTTACTGAGCCGGAATCCCGCTACTTTATTCGACAAATTGTTAACGGTTGCCAATATCTCCATCTCAATAATATTATTCACCGTGATCTTAAATTGGCTAATCTCTTTTTGAACGATGACATGATTATTAAAATTGGTGATTTTGGGTTGGCTTCGAAAATAACAAAGGACGGTGAGAAGAAGAGAACCTTGTGTGGCACTCCCAATTACATTGCTCCTGAAATTCTCAACAAACACGGACACAGCTTCGAAGTCGACTCGTGGTCTGTTGGATGCATCTTGTAAGTCGTCGCTTTTTGTCATTGCATGAAAGGTACACTCTTCTTGTTGGACGACCTCCTTTTGAGACTTCCAACTTAAAAGATACCTATGAGAGAATAAAGAAGAATGAGTACGTCATTCCTTCGCATGTCAGCGTTGCTGCCTCTACACTAATTCGCGCACTTCTTGACGCTGATCCAAAGAAGCGGCCGAGCATGTTCAGCGTGTTGGACCACGAATTTTTTAAGGGGTTTACCCCTGCTTGTCTTCCTGTTAGTGCTCTGACTACCTGCCCTCGGTTCGACAATCTTTGTCGCACCATGGCAGACCGACGTCCACTTTCTGTTATCGACGCAAATCTCAACGATATGTCTACGGTAAATGTGGAAGGAAATAGGGATTTCTTCTCGGATGACTGCTGGCTGGGGATTCTACGTGATAAGGTAAAATCAATTGTAAATGCTTGATGTGTGTAGCTTGGTGACCTTCTGACGTCCCCGATTTTGAAAACAAACCACATAAACGCCATGGAGGACAGTGAAGACCCTGCTTGCGTCCCCATTTATTGGATTTCGAAATGGGTGGATTACTCTGACAAGTATGGTATCGGATATCACTTGTGCGACTCCTCGAATGGCGTTCTTTTTAATGACGACACGAGGCTGCTGTCTACTGCGAATCAGCTAAACCTTCAGTACATTGAAAAGAACGGAAAAGAGTACTTGTACACGAAGACTGAATATCCTCCTTCGCTTTCTAAGAAAGTGACCCTACTCACATGTTTCGCAAGTTATATGCACGAAAACCTCCTTCACGTACGTAAACTGTGCCCTTGTAATATACGCTGATTGTTGCAAGTTTTCCCAGCATTCCATTACGCTAATCAAGTATATGAGAATAATCACCTCTTCCCGTAAGTATAAGCCATGTTCGATACTAAGGGCAAACAAAATGACTTATGCGCCTTAATAACTTGCGATTCTACTTCATCCAAGAGCGTTTACACGCATGCTTGTATGTAGGTTAATGTTCATTTAAATGAAGGCAGGTTTGACAAACCGACTCAATTTTGTGCTCATCTGTGTAGATGCTTTAATTTTCATTCGTTTTCAAATCTGCTTGAATGTTTGTGAACTCTGTTGCCGTCCTTTGGGTATGGATCCGCCAATACAGTTACTTACCCCCAATCAGATTACAGCAGCGGATCCCGCTGCATATACACAACCCGCAGGACTTGTTTGTACGGTAACCGATCAACATCTGTTCCCTTAGCAAATATTGCGTGTAGCACTCATTAACTTTCGTGTGGCACTAATTAGCGCCCGTGAACCCTTCTTATACACCACCGTCACTCCCATAATTGTCAATCACTTGGGTGCTTTTGCATTCTCAGATGCTCATTCGTTTAATTAATTTAAACTCACGTTCCTGAGCCGCCTAACCGGTTAGGCAATGTTCCCTCCGATTTCGTTTGGACTAGAAGATTTTCGAACACTTTTATCAGCGACTGAATAAGCCTCGGTTTCCAGCCCTTCGAATCCCTTTTCATTTTTTTATCTCGTGCTCTTGGCATTAGTTTTAAGAGTGGGTAGAAGCCGCTGACTTCAGGGATGTCTTCCTGTTGTTGTAAGCAATTGACAGTTTCGTTCGAGGAATGCCTGGAGTTTTTGCCACTGTCTATGTGTGTCGAACGTTAGCACAATGCCAGCTTTTTGAGTCAGAAGTGTGTGTGGGTAGATTATGCATGAACTGTAGAGATTTACACTCATGTTTTGCTTGCGTGGAATTCGGGTTACACGTTAATTCGTTCACCTAATATGGGATATTTATCGCCCTGTTTGATTCACTTTTTACTTACTGTCTAGGCTGGAGAAAACATTGTGCGTAGGGAGTCGGACAACATGGCCAGGCTGCCTTTCCTTCGCACCTGGTTTCGAACTCGTGTCGCCATTGTGCTGCATCTTAGCAACGGAACACTACAGGTAAAGTCCTTCACACTCGCGTCCCTCTGCTTATTATCATGCCCAAACTAGGTCTAATTGGGGGAGGGGCTGTGTGTGTTCCTCACTGCTGTAGTTTTCTCTGCTTCGAAACGTGTCCAGAATTTTTTTTTTTCTACAATTCTTTCCTTGTGTGTGTTGTGAGTTATACTTAACGGATTGGAGTAGTTTCGCAAAAAATTAACTCGCTCTCTCGAACACAATTCGGCTATGTGCTCCACGTCATCCGATTGTTGGTTTGGCTTAATCACACGTCGGCGTCGACGACTGTGGTGGTGGTGGTGGTGGCAGCAGCAGCAGCAGCTTAAGGCACGCGCTTTTCCACACGCAATCGGACCTAATTGTATCCACGTGTAATACGTAAGCGCAGTCACCTCCCGTCTCGGTGGCGTCGGGGACGATGGTTTGGTACGGATGTTTCAGCGCACGCCTTTTCATGCCTACGCACAGTGGGTCGTTTGGTTCGGCATCTTCAGTTGCTGCGGGCACACCTCCAACACTTTACTCCCAACAGCTTTTCGCTTTGGATGAGGTGTGGTTTGTGTTTGGGGCGCAGACCTCGCCAAATCTAATTTGATTCTTTGCAAGTTGCAAAAGTGGTCGCCGTCAGGGTTACTACTTCCAGGCCAAATTTAGCTAGTGTTTTTGCAGTTTTGTGTACTGTGTCTTATCTTGCATCCCACTAGTGATTTTTGGTCGAGGTCTTTTTTTGCTTTCGTTATTTGGGGTAGTTTACATTGGTCAGATTTAATTTTCACGACAGCGCTGTAAGACGTGCTTGTCTTTCTCGTTTAATCCCCACCAAGCGAACGCCAAGCGATTTTCCAGTGTGAACCTAAAAACTCCAACATGAATACGAGTCGCTCGGTTGATTAGGCAGTCATTCGTTGTATTTGGATGTCAAGTCGACTAATTGGCGCGTTGACCTGCTTGACTAGTCAGTGCTTACCAAGTGCTCTTCAAACTAAAGCGTCAATCACTCAACTTAATTATGGTGATTAATCATAAACGCGGCGTCACCAGCTGTGCTGTTATGGCCAATTGGCGTGAGTGAAGAAGGTGCTCCCCGTAGAGCAGTTACTGTCTCACTTAATCTTCACCCACTGTGCTTCATTGTAGTTGAATTTCTTCGACGACCACTCGAAGATTATACTGTGTCCTCTGATGGAGGCAGTCACCTACATCGACCCCAACCGCGACTTCAAGACATTTCGTTTCAACCTGCTGAAGACCAATGGTATCACGGAGGTGCTAATGAGTCGTCTGAGGTATGCTCACGAGATGATCACCTGTCGACTGTTGCGGTCGACGCACCGAACTCGCTCCACCAACACTGCAGGGGGAAGTTCGAGGGACTCGCGAGGGACAGCCCCGACCTCCGCTGGTGCCGGCGACGCCCACGGTGCCGCTCAAATGCGCCAGAATGATCCCGTGTCTGCGGCCATCGCTACTGGCAGGCAGGCCGCCAGAACGGCCCTAGCTGCGACCGAGGCCCTGAAAAGGAAGTGATTCACCACTGGGAACTTGTCACGCGTTTAGTGCCTTCCTCTTAATCCTCTTCCACCGGTACTTTTAAAAGAATCGGAGCCGCGATTTGATTATTCTTTCATACCCTGGAAAAGTTGTATAAATTAAATATTGTATGGCATAATTAGCCCTGTAGTTGCAAACCACGGGATGCGAATAGGATGTGTTCTTGGCGGCAGTAACAAGTGTTTGTAGGGTGCTATTGTGCTACAGCATTTGTTCATGTGAGTCCACAGCGTGACCATTCAGTCACCCCGAAAAAGTCGATTCCGGCTGTCCATCACTGCAGCATCCAACCGACCAATCAACTTATGCCGGATTGAGCACGAGTTCTTGTGCCCTGGACTGCGTAAACCGTATTCCTTAAATCCGCCAAGTTGACAGCTGTGCTTCAAATTTCTCAATTCACTAATTCCCAAAGAAGACTAAGAACGGCCTGTCTTTGGGAAGGCGGAGCGCGCTGCATTGTGAGTCGTCTTTGTGGTGTCCGATTCGGGGTGAATAACAGGCGGTCCGGGACACTCGTGGAGATTCCACCAGAAAACGCATATATTCAAACGTGTAGTTCGTTGAGTTTATGACGTAGGTCACTTGTGTATCTCGATTTAGAAGCAAAACTGACGCATCTCACACAGATATGCCAAGTCTATAATGTTTTGCGGATCGCACCTGGTAAAGTTGGCCTGGCCAATTTCGTTCTATAGATTTATCACTCAATTTAACTGGCGTCGATCTAGTCGACTTGCTGAGGAAGATGATGACAAAATCTTAGCTACAATTGAATCTGTTTGGTATCCATGAGTCGGTCGATACGCAGGGGGTGTGGACGTTCTCTCGACGTCAATTTGGGCTCGGGCCACATTCCTCGTTGCCTCCTGAGGCACCTCAGCAGAAGTCGTTTTGAAGGCCTCGGCATGTGGTCTCGAACCACTCCAGACCTGCTGTTTTGAATCAGTCCGTTCACACTACTCTGGCACCCTCGAAGATCAAGATGACGGACAGAGATATCTCGACGTAGATGAGTTTTGTCTAGCTACTGCACTTAAGAAATCGTGTCTGGCCAATTGGGGTTGTTGACTAATGCTGAATGGCTAGATGATTGAAACGGGTAGTGTGGTTGGGGTAAGAGTTGGTGGTTTTGCATGGACGGTAGTAACGCCTTGAAGAGGGATGGGCAGTGTGTCGGAAAATGTGAGGACGTGGATCAGCGTGATTCTCACCGATCTGCCTCAAGTGGACGGGTCGTGTGGCGTCGGGGTACCCTTGTCAACTTCGAAACGATCAACTGATTTGGAAGAATTTACGTAGGCATCCACGCAAAATTCATTATTTCCACAAAGAACCATGTACTGTCCAGACTGACTTTTTACTTAAGCGAACGGATTTCTCACAAGGGCATTTAATACTCAAGCACTTATCCCGTCAAACTAAGGCCCGAAAAGAGAATAATTACACATTTTATAATGAAGTCAAGCTTGAGACCTTTTCACAAACAACAAATTTTATTGCCTGATAAACATGCCGACTTGCTGGCAGCTTACGTCAGCGTTGTTATTAGCAGTAAACTAGACCACGTGCAACGTCGGGTCGTCAGTCATGTAAACGGCGCATAGCATCACCGGATTCGAGTCTAACCGATCGGCTTTTGTCTTAAACGTGAGTTCCGTTCGATAATCAGCTCGTAGACTTCGCGTGTCTATGTTTAAGCCTCTTTCATTGTCCCACCTTTACGGAAACGAACATGCTAATCGCTTCGACGTGTTCCTGTTTAAACTAACACCCACAAGCTAAGTGATGCGATATCCATGTGAATTTTGGCCTTGTCTTGTAAGGGTCTAAATAGGGATATTAGTGGGTTTTGTAGCAGAATCTTAAGCGTTCGTAGTGCTGTTCGGCTGCTTATGTAGTGGAAATGTCCTCGTGCCAGAGGCCGCGTCTCAATGCGTCATTTTGTCGCCACTACTGCTGATTTTGTGTTTGATGCACACGGGGAACAACGATGGGGTCTTTCTATTACTCTGCTATCGCAGTACTTTCGAGTATTTAGTAGTATATCGTGCTGTGACAGCCGCTCCATCAGTGAATTTGAACACAATAGGGTCGCAGACAATCGTCATGACCGGATACTGAGGAGGTGGGCTAGTGCCAATCTACTCACACGGCTTCCGCTTTAAACTACTCACTTGAAAACGAAAATGTTTGTAAGTGAAGACGCACACGTCGGACAGGCGTACGAGTTGTCACCTACTCCATTACGATGTGTCAACCAGAGTGGCGTCTTCTCTGTGGCAAACACCTCGACCATTTCAGCACACGACCAGAAATATCTGAGCTTTGATTAGTGATTGAGATGTCATTTCCCTTTTCACTTTCATCATCGTTGCTGTGATTCACTCAATCATAGGTGTAGATCACCTGGAGCATTGGTTTTTTCCTCGGCTTCACACCAACTTCACCATCAATTGTTTTCTGAAGAGAGCGAAAGCAGTTTCCATTCTGCCAACGCCAACGCACTATATTTAGCCCTGTTAAATAAATATCCAGACTCGATCAACCCACCACACAGGTAGATCGCATTTCAGCAGATAGTCATGCACTTATTCGTGGTAAATGTTTGTCCTTCTTATGCCAGTTTGTGTGTGTAATTCCTCAGATGTGCTGTTGTGACCCTCGGCCACATGTTGCATTCACATGCACCCTAAAATGTGATTACGCAAAAGGAGGATGATCATGTCATCTGAGTAAGCGGCTGTGCCTCCAACGTTCTTGGTGTCATTATTCTCCAGGGTCGTTCGTTCTTGTCACTTCACCACCACCACCACCACCACCACCACCACCACCACCACCACCACCACCACCACCACCACCACCACCAC